TTGCTGAGAGTTGCATCTGAGAGGCCGGCAAGTCAGGCCGGGAACGTTGGAGTTCTCTGTCACTGAAGCAAGCAAGCCTCCCTGTTCGCATCAGCTGCCTGGCTGCCGGCTCCCATCTTGGCTGCCAGTTAATTTGCATATCCCGGCCCTACTCTGTGAGTGACAGGGGGATTAGCCAATGGGAAGGGTAGCGGTCGTATGCCAATTACCATGTTTCTCTTTTATTAGTGTAGATTGTTTACCAGTTTAAGATATAGAGCCAATCACAATCTCTACCCTTATAGGGCTTACAGTCCAGTTGCAAACAGAGAAAAAGACTTGTGCAAAGGCCCAAGAGCAGAAAAACACAGGTGTATTCAAAGAAGAGAAAGGCGATCTTGGAATGGGCAAAGGGGAAAGTTGGAGTGGGGTTGGACCACAAAGCAGGGCCTCAGAGGCCGTGGTATGGATCTTAGATTTTATTTTATAAAGAAGGAAGGTCGCCCTAGCTGGTTTGGCTCAGTGGATAGAGCATCAGCCTGCAGACTGAAGGGCCCAGGTTTGATTCCAGCCAAGGGCACATGCCCAGGTTTCAGGCTCCAGCCCCCGTAGGGGGCATGCAAGAGGCAGCCAGTCAATGATTCTCTCTCATTGATGTGTCTGTCTCTCTCCCTCTCCCTTCCTCTCTGAAATCAATAAAAATCTATTTTTTTAAATAGATTTTATTGATTTTTCACAGAGAGGAAGGGAGAGAGATAGAGAGAGTTAGAAACATCGATGAGAGAGAAACATCGATCAGCTGCCTCCTGCACATCCCCCACCGAGGATGTGCCCGCAACCCAGGTACATGCCCTTGACCGAATCGAACCCGGGACCTCCCAGTCCGCAGGCTGACGCTCTATCCACTGAGCCAAACCGGTTTTGGCAAAAAAATCTATTTTTAAAAAAGAAGAAGAAGGAAGGTCACCAAAGGTAAGTGGGGGAGTGATATGGTTAAATGGAACAGAGCACGAGTTAAATAAACGTGTCCTGGGGTTGTTAGAACACTGAAGGTGATGGTTCACTGCTGTGACCTGGGACCAGAGATTTCTAGGTCTCCCAGCTCTGGGCCCATGAGGTGTTTGTGTAGCCCAGTGAGGTCATAAGGACACACCCCAGCCAATGTCTGGAGGAAGGTGCCTCCTTCGTCCCCAGGGGGCAGATAAGCCTTCAAGAACAGGGACTCGGGCCGAACGGGTTTGGCTCAGTGGATAGAGTGTCGGCCTGCAAACTCAAGGGTCCCAGGTTCGATTCCGGTCGGGGGCATGTACCTTGGTTGTGGGCACATCCCCAGTGCGGGGCGTGCAGAAGGCAGCCGATCGATGTTTCTCTCATCGATGTTTCTCATTGTCCCTCTCCCTTCTTCTCTCTAAAAAATCAATAAAATATATTTTAAAAAAAAAAAGCCTGTCTCATATCATGCAGAAGGCAGCCGGTCGGTGTTTCTCTCTCATCGATGTTTCTGACTCTCTGTCCCTCTCCCTTCTTCTCTGTAAAAATCTTCTCTGTAAAAAATCAATAAAATATATTTAAAAAAAAAAAAAAAGAACAGGGACTCGGGAGGGTGATAGAGAAGCCCTCCCGTGGGCAGGGTAGATGAATCTCCATTCTGGACTTCAGCGGTAACAGACACAAAACCTCAGATGGCAGTGTGGGAATTCCCTGAACCTCCAAAAGACCTCCAGCTCCCAGCACCGGCCTTCCTTACTCCTGGGAGCTGCTCCTCCCGCTCCTGCAGGACTAAGCGAATTAC